TATATATATATGTGTGTGTATATACATATATATATATATATGTGTGTGTATATACATATATATATATGTGTGTGTATATACATATATATATATATGTATATATATATACACGTGTGTATGAAAGTTTGTCAAGATACCTTCATTCCAGGCATCTGGACCCACTCTACAGCGGTTCCAGTGGCCTTCGAAAGAAACTCTGTTAAAGTTTCCTCTGCAATGGACAAAAGTCTGAAAACCACAAAACATCATTAACCACAGTTTAAAAAATCCAATCAAACCAAACCCCATTAACTTAACCAGAGTTAAAAAAAATCAAACGAAACCCCACTCACCCAGCAGGACTAGCATCACGTGGAGGATGCTGGGGAGTCAAATGGTGTTGACCACTAGTCACCACCGATTCACAACTAGTATCCTTGGTGGCAAGTGTCGCCTGAAAATCAAGAAATCTTGATCCATCAATTCCCATAAACAAAACCCAATTGCCCATCAAATCACAAAGATATAAAAGTCTCACATTTTGTGTATGTTGACGAAAACAACCGTTTTCATACACCAAATGAGATACTTGCTTCTGTAATCTATCGTTTTCCTCCATTAAAAGCTTGTTCATGGCCGTCAGCTTTCGATTCACAGATTGAAGTCTTGAAGCTTCTTTCCTCTGTTTCTCTCTGCATCTGTAAATCAAAATAAAACAAGAACATAAAACCCATCAACAAGTATCGAAATAGAAAATGGGAAATTGACCAAAATATCCAATTCAATCAACCAAATTCACTTTTTAGCCAATTTTCAAAACTTGTTCCCAAAATAGCCAATCTATGAGTAGATGCTTTACACGTCTGAATAAAGACTGATTTCTGGAAGAAAAGGTATAATATAAAATCAACTTTTATGCAGATGCTTTACGCATTTGAGTAGAAACTTGAATCCCCAAATTCATTTTTAGCCACCTTTCAGAATCTCCTCCCAAAATAGCCAATTTTTAAGAAGATGCTTTTAGCATTTGGGTAAAAACTGATTTCTAGAAGAAGAAATAAAATAAAAATAAAAATCCCTATGCATGTGGGTAAGTATTCTTTAAACAGAAACTTGAATTTTACTGGGAAATCTGTTTTTTTTCTTTCAAATTTCTGCCTAAAATTGGAATTCAATCGAGAAAGTGGCTAAAAACTGAAGTGGGTTAGGGAGATTAGCTATTTTTAGCCAAAGAAAACCCACAAAAAATCACATAAATCATTACAAACCGAAAGGTTTCTTTTTGGGTGAAATGGTGGCATTAAATACCTCCGATTTTGGAACCAAACTTTGATCTGTTTGGGTTCAATGTTTGAGAGAATAGGGCATTCACGAATAAGTTGTTGACGACGAATTGAACTGGGTTTTGGGCATTCATGATATAGTCTTTCAAGGGCTTCAACCTGCTCAGGTGTATAACGAACATATTTGCCATTATCAAGAATGGCACCTTTACCATCTTTGCAGGATAAAGCCATCATTATCACTCGAAATCCCTTTTAAAAAAAACCCAGATGGAACTTTGTCTGATTTCACCCCCCTTTAGCCTTTCCTCACCACTTTCTTCGATTCTTGATGACGATTACCACCCAATTTGGAGTAACGATCAAAAACCCAGATTGGATTTGGCTGATTTCGACTCTTTCTACTCCCCACTTTGTTTGATTATTGATAAAGATTAACACCCCAAGTTGTAGTTTTTGATTTGGAACCCAGTGGAATTAGCTGGTTCCAATCGTTCCCAACCTCTGAAACATGTTGATTTCTATGAAGAAAGAGAGAGGTGAATTTGGCAATCAAACATGTTGTGAAGAAGAAAAGGAGTGAATTTGAGAGGAAACCCTAATGATAAAAGGAAGAGAAGGAGAAGAGTAAAGTAGAGAGTTTGTTATTGAGTGGTTTTAGCCTGTGGATGGATATGATATGAAGTGTGGAGTTGTTGGGTGTCTGGTTCATTTGCTGTTTGTTGGTTTGCTTTTAGCTGTTTTCACTTTACTCTCTCTCTCTCTCTCTCTCTCTCTCTCTCTCTCTCTCTCTCTCTCTCTCNTCTCTCTCTCTCTCTCTCTCTCTCTCTCTCTCTCTCTCTCTCTCTCTCCCTCCCTCCCTCCCTCCCTCCCTCCCTGCTATCTATCCCTTTGAAATTACCTTTACAAGTATATATTTTGAATCTCTAAGTGAAATTACCTTTTTACCCACCCTTTTCCTCATTTCCCATTACCATTCCCATGGCTAATAAAGTTATTTTTTAAACTTTACAAGGATGGTATCTAATTGGTTTGAGTTTGGCTCTAAGAATTAAAAGTACCTGGAGGTCTCAAGTTCAAGTTCAAGGAGAAATAAAAATCTCCTTGTGGCTACGGAGGTTCAAATATGGTGACTCCGAGCTATCTACAAAACAGGTGGTCGTCCTGGGATTAGTCAACTCGAATAGCATGATGGATATCCAGGTTAATCAAAAAAAATATTTTGAACCATATTGTGTCTGTCTGTCTGATTGGGTTTGAGTTTGGCCTCTAAAGGTCAAAAGTACCTGGAGGTCTCAAGCTCGAATCCAATGAGGAACAAAAATCTCATTCTGGCCATGGAGGTTCAAATGCAATAACTCTTGGTTATCTGCAAAGCGGGTGGTCGTTCTGGGATTAGTCGGCTCACATAGTGGGTTGGATATCCAAGTTAATAAAAAAAAAAAAGTTTTTTTGATAATCTTTTCAAGTTTATTAGAAAAAATCATGTTTTGTTTTTGTTAAAAAGATGTTTGAGGGGTTGTTTGTTTTACCTCTTAATAGTTGTATTAAGAGACAGTCTCTGAATCGTTAAGAGATAAAACTTGTTTGACAAAAAACAAATTTTATCTCTCAATGGTTCTAAAACTCTCTGAATGATTTAATATCATGGGTCTCCCTTAACCATTCAGTGCCCTAATTTCGTTGTAAATAATTACCAAACAATTATATTTTATTTTACGCTATATCATGAGAGTCTCTTAATAATTCTGCATCAAACGATTCAGCAACCCTCAAACATGCCCTTAATCAGTTTGTGTACAACTCGAGTAACCATGGGGGTTTTGGAGAACAATTAAATCCCCAGAAACTCGAATTGATGACTTATAAGAAAAAATTCTAAAATATGTTTGGTTATTTTATAAATTATATCTTGAAAAATTATTTTAGGTGACATTTTATGTCTTAATAAACAGTATGGTTTTTTATTGCAAGTATGTCTAAGCTATTTTTTTACCAGACGTTACTGGTTTATGAGTTACAATTTCACCTCACAGCTAGTTTATCAGATATATAACAAAGTACATAAACAGCTTGGATGTTTTGCATACTGTGGAGCATAAACGCACAAAAGACAAAGAAAATGACGGCTTTTAGTGACTGCAAAAACTACATTTTTCTTAACTAACCAACGAAGAAGTCTCAAACTCTCAATCTTGATGTCCGAAATGAAATGTCTCTAGTTTTTAAGATTTTAACTGTTTTCTATTTTTTTTTTATTATAGTTTACAAATGATTCTTGTGTTTTGAATCAAACCCTGTAAAAATTGATTATGTTTTCTGTATAAAACTTGATGTATATCTGAATAAATATTCAAAACGTATTATTCAGTAAAAGTATGTTTATTTATATTTCATCTCTTCAAAAACTACTTTTAAATACGATATATTAAGTGTCTGTTTGTTAGTAGCTTAATTGGACTCACAATTTATTTGGTCAAATACACATGATTGTTTGGTAGTTGCTTAATGTTACAGAAAGTGGTTTATTCAGTAAACTTTCAAGAAGAACTTTATGCAAAAACTCGAGTTTTTTTTTTCCAAAACCATTCGAAACATAAACTTTATTAATCTATACAAACAAATTAATCCACACATACAGTTTTATTCATATAAGGATTTACTGAAAAACTAACCAAACATGCCTTAAGTTTATTTGATTTGATCTGATGGGTTGAGTTTCGATGAGAATGAGATTTAAGTGATAAGCATAAGAAGAGTTCTCCACCATTGAATGCACATTAGGATGAGAGACACTGAAATTCATGAGTAGGTTTAAAATTAGAAGTGATCAAGAGTACAGATTCATTCTTACACGACCATCGGTTTTGATCTGATGTCGTTTTATATTTAACATGTGTGTTTTGTTGGTTTGGTGGATGGCATAAGATGTAATATATTAAAAAACGAGGGGGTGAAACGAGGAGGTTCATAAAAAGAACGAAAGGGGGAGGCATGGGAGGGTTTTCGTGGGACAAAGAGGACACCATGATGACGGCTTTGCATGCGCCTCGGTTTTAACCTTTATTTCTTTTCTTTTTTATTTTTATTTTTTTAAATTTTAAATTTTTACTATTTTTAAAAAAACCTTTTTTATTTATTTTTTTATTTCTTAATTTAATGGTTGTTGAATGGTTTGGTGTAAAATGATTAAGAGACTCTCATGATATAATGCAAAATAAAATATAATTATTTACAATGAAATTAGAGCGCTGACTGGTTAAGGGAGGCTCATTATACAAAATCATTCAGAAGGTTTTAAAGCTGTTAAGAGGCAAAAAAAATTTGTTAAACAAGATTCACCTCTAAATGATTGAGATGATGCTTCTAACAACAATCTTAATAATTTCATTAAGAGACATATTCTGAATCGTTAAGAGATCAATCTTATTTGTGAAAAAAATTATGTCTCTTAATAGTTCTAAAACTCTCTGAATAATTTTGTATTATGGGTCTCTCATAACCATTCAACGTCCTAATTTCATTTAAAACTATTACCAAACAATTATATTTCATTTTACGCTATATGATGAGAGCATCTTAATTATTCTGATCATTTAATTATTTTGCACTAAACCATTCAACAATTGTCAAAAAGATCCTTTTATAACTGAATTTTATAATTTATTGTTGTTTTTATTTCATATTTAACGTAAATTCATTAACAAAAGTGAGTGTTCAGTTAAAAGTATTAAACAGTAATTAATAAAATTAAAGGGTTGTTTATTACCTCTTAATAGTTCTATTAAATGACAATTTATAGATTATTAAGAGATAAATCTTGTTTGATAAAAAAAATCTGTTTGATAATGATTCTAAAGCTCTAAATAATTTTATAAAAAAAAAGGCTTTTGTCTTTTTTTGAGTTCCTTTAGAATTACTCTAGATGGCCTAAAGCTAAAAGTTCAAATGATAGTTTTGGGATACATAGGTTGGTCCCAATGTACATTTTGTTTTTAATATGTGATTGTACTTCAAGTAAAGATAGTACGAGGACTGAAAGTGAAAGATAGTTAAAGTACATGGGCTTAAAATAAAGCTGAGGTAAAGAAACATGAGTGGGTCCACAGGGGACCCAACCATGCGCCAGTCTGCAGCATAACATACTCACATACATGACGTGACAATGACATGACATATTGACAAATGACAAATTGAGAAGATGGGATGGGACTCTGTGTGTGCAGACTCACAGTAAGCTACGGTTGTTAATGTGGGGTCATTTTTGTTTTTAGAGTAATAAAGAAAGGATACTGTGGGGACAGAATCACTGTCTTTGCAGGTCCCGTTTGTCCTGGCCGTTGGATCACTGTCATATCAGTTACTCCTGATTCACGCTATTAACTTTTTCTTTTGAGTAAATTACGATTTCAGTCCCTATAGTTTGTCAATAATTGCAATTTTTCTCCCTATAATTTAATTTTTTTTAATATGTATAGCTTGTAACTTGTTATTACTTTCATTTCTCAATTAGTTATTATCTACAAGTATGAAAAACTAAAAGAGTAACAAAATTATTAATAACAAAGATTAAAATAACAATAAAATGTAAATCATAAAAACAAATATAATATTAAAGAGTAAATTTCATGAAAAAATAACGTGTTTTAACTTGATTTTTATTTTCGGTAACGTACTTTGAGAACTTTCATTTTGGTACATAAGATGTAAAGTTTTAAACATTTAAGTACTCGAGTAACTAGCTGAAGACTAATTTTAGATTAAAAAAATTCATGTCAGCAAACAATACTGTGTTGGATATCACATCACTCGCCACATCAACATGATAACCGATTAATGTTTCAAATGGTTATCCGGATACTTAAATGTTTAAAACTTTATATCTTAAGTACCAAAATAAAAGTTTTGAAAGTATGTTACCCATAATAGAAATCAAGTTAAAATACAATATTTTTTTTTTTTTTTGCATTTGCCCCATATTAAATTAGATACCATGGGGATGAAAATTAAAATTTCTATCATAAATTTTAATAGACTATATGGATAAAAAAAAAACAAAATTTACCCCAGTTTTTTCGAGTAATTTACGGTTTCGTCCTCGTGGTTGTGATTTTCATTTTTGTGGTTTAGAAATCGTTTTCTATGTAATTCATTGTTTTTTTTAACTTAAAATTTATAAAAAAAATTATTTTTTTGGTCCTTATAATTTACAGATGTTTACTGATTTGGTCCAAGTACTTAAAAGTAAAAATAAATTACAATTCTTTCGGTTTATTGTACAGCAAACTCGGATGGTGGTAGAGAATAATCACTCATCCTACTACCAGTACAAAAATTGTCAACACATGAAAAGGTCTATGAATTTTACAATTGCAGATATTACACTTTTGTCTTTTGGAACTAGCTTCCAACAGATCTATTTTGACTGTCATCGATGTAATACAGAGTATTGGCCAACTATATGTTGGAGGTTCAGTTCCATTTTTGTATCATATTATCTTATATGTTGAATTTTATCGACTCGGTTTGTCACATAAACAAACAAATGCACATGGAAACATTTTTTGAATTGGATAAACGGTGAGCTATTGTCTTTCTT